ATTTTAAAAGCTTAAATAAATAAATCTTGACACGTTCAAATGCCAGAGCTCTTTGAACAGACATTTATGCTGAATCTGTCTTTTATACCTCCCAAGAGGTAAATTAAAATTTATTCTTCCCTAAGAGTGCTTTTACCTTTGCTCCTGTTTACTGCTTCATATGTTGCTATCTATTCATGGTGGTGAGGGAAGTGCCATAAATTTGTGTGGAATTAATGCCCCAACACTGCAGATGTGCGTGCACCCATGACTGTTTCCTCAATTGGCAGCTGTTAAGACTAGACAAAACTTGACATGCTCCATGTGTTTACCTTCTAAACATCGGTGATGCTACATTGTTTTGGTATTCTACACTGTAGGAAAAACTGTCACTAAAATAACCTTTCAAGAGTAAATTTTTGGATTATAAATCTATAATGGGCTCCACTATATATATCAAGCAACTTGAGTTATGCAGCAGCCTCTTTAAAATGAGTTAAACTATACCACCTTATTACATCAACCCAGCTTAAACTGAATTGAGCCTCATGGAACCATATTGCCTTGTAATTTTTTTTCCTAAGGCTTTAGTTGTATTTTACGTCTGGATTGGGGTGGGCACTCTTTTGCTCAGTCTCTGCTGATCTAGATGGGTAAACATCTATAGCACTCTTGAATCTTGTCCATCAGATGCGTTTAACTGATAGTATTCCTGGATCACAGTTATTGAAAAAGTCATGACTTGTCTACACAGAATACTTATTACCACTTACTGATCTTATTTTTGGTAATACAAAAACTATACTCTATAAATCAGTATGTGGACATAGCTTGGCTTTTGAAGCCTCTCTAAGACTAAAAATAGAATGTCCTGCTCCATTTCCCAGGGAAGAAAAGGTAAAACACATGGCATATATTTAAGCAGATGTAATAGAAATGTAAACAATTAAGAAAGTTGGAAAATAAATGTTCATTAGAAATAATCCAGATGCCAGACACTGGTGGCTCTCTTCTGTAATCCTAGCCACTCAGGAAGCTGAAATCCAGGGGAAACAGATTTGAAACCAGATCTGTGGATACAGGTTCAAAGCAAGCCCCAGCACTCTTATCTCCAGTTAACCACCAGAAAACCAAAATGACACTGTGGCTCAAAGTAGTAGAGTGCTAGCCTTGAGCAGAATTGCTCAGGGATAACACCCAGACCCTGGGTTCAAGCCCAACTGAAGTAATAAAAAAAAAAAGTCCAGAGTCAGCTGAGCACCAGTTGTTTTTCGTTGTTGTTGTTGTTGTTTTTTGGGGGTCCAGTCGTGGGGCCTGAACTCTGGGCCTGAGTGCTGTCCCTCAGCTCTTCAGCTCAAGGCTAGTGCTCTACCACTTGAGCCACAGCACCACCTCCGGCTTTTTTCTTTTTGCTTATGTGGTGTTGGGAATCGAACCCAGGGCCTCAGGCATGCAAAGCAAGTGCTCTTACCACTGAGCCACCTTCACAGCCCTGAGCACCACTTGTTTAACTACTCAGGAAGCTGAAATCCAGAGGGAGATTTGAAACCAGCCTAGGCTAAAAAGTTTACATCTCCAGAATAAAAATCCATCCCCAGCAAAAAATTTGAAGGCCTAGTAGAGCACCAGGCAAGCAAGCAAGCCGAGCAAATGAAAGCCTTTGAGCTCAAACCTGGGTACTGGAGAATGGGGAAGGAATACATACATATATAAATAAATATATATTCACACATATGTAATATTTGTTCACACGCATACATATAATCTGTCACATACACTACCATGATTTTGTTGTTTCTTGCAGATTTGTTTTCTCTTTGTATATAAATTCATAGATTGACCTTTTTTTGTTTTAAATACTGCCAGGAGCTGGTGACTCATGCCTGCAATCCTAGATATATAGAGGTATCACAATGAAATCCCCTTGTACAATTAGTATATTCTAATTTTAAAAATGTAAAACAGTCTGAAATGGGGATATGTTATTAAACTAATGCTTTTTTTGTTTTTTGTTGATTGTGAGGCTTGCACTCGGGCCCGGGGCCCTGTTGTTGAGCTCTTTTTCTCAAGGCTAGCGTTCTTCCTATTTGTGCCACAGCTCCACTTCCAGTTTTCTGGTGGTTAATTGGAGATAAGAGTTTTGCTTGGCTGGCATCGAACCATGATCTTCACATCTCAACTTCCTGAGTGGTTAGTATTACAGGTGTGAGCCACCAGCACCTGGCATTTGCAAATGCTTTTCTTAATTTAACTACCACAGTTATCCAAATAAGCGAATGTCTAGGGTAATAAACCAAGTAATAAAAAAGATCAGATTAGAAATTAAGATGTGGCTCAAGTGGTAGAGCTCCAGCCTTGAGCAAAAAAAGCCATGCAAGCATGAGGTACTGAAGTCAGGCTCCAGTGCTGGTACTAAATTAATTAATTAACTTACTAACTAAAATCATTACATGATTTCCTAAATTACACATGGCAGGTAGCCCTGTGTTCATTCTAGAAATGTTTATAATTTTAAAGGAGGATGATATCTCTCTTTACACTGAACTAGGACTTCTTTTCTAGCAGTTTAGGTGGGCTATTAGACATAACAGCTTTAAAATTTTAAACCATAGTTTTCATAGTTTTTAAACTTAATAAACATTTTAAGCATGACAATGGAAAGCAATTTATGTGTGTACAGGGCAATTCACCCTAGCCAGGATACATCTAACTCTCATAGACTATGCCTTTTTATCCATCATCTCTTTCTTTCTTTAGTTTGTTAATATAAAGAAATCCAGATCTTTGTCCTTTATGGTTGTCAATGACCAAGGGGGTGTATTCTGAAGTATGGCCACTTATAAGTACAAGTCATTTATAAATTATGAACTTCTAAGTCAGATTGCTACTTCGATTAAGAGAAAAAGTCAGAGAACAAAATGTTTTTGTTGCTTCTGTCTGGCCTGGAATTTCAGAGAAGGAGCACTCTGCTTATCCAGAGCTAGATCTGCTGTTAAAAGTTCATACCATCTTTTTGACATTTTGTGTTGGACTTTCTCTTTGTAAATCCCTTTCCATATTATCCGTGTGCTGGTCTCAGAGCTTAAACTGTTTCAAAAACCATAACATTTCTTAGTGAGTGATTGGCTTGTATTATGTGTCCAGCCATCAGGGGGATCTTGGGATGTTGCTTGTATAAACTGTAATCCAATCTGATGCTGAGCATTTAGTTACAGTCTTTCATAGACCTATTGGTGATATTCAATCCTTTTGGATTTGGGAATAGGGCTTATCTGATACCTTCAGGGGGAAAAATCCATTCATCTCTCTCTTCCCCACTTAAATAACTCAACACATCTGGTAATACTGTAGGATCATTGTCCTTCCAGTTCCTCTGCAGCTCATGTTGCCACAATATTTCTTAGGTATTTAGTTACTTAGAGGACAATATGATTTTTTTAAAAGACTTTGATAGGGTCTTACAAATTAATCCATCTACAGAACTAGAAAAAAATATGTGTTTAGTCAGCAAAATTTCCCTATCAGCAGGTCTCTGTTATTTACACAGTATGAATACAAATTAAAAACTAGAGATAAATGCTCATGAGTTAAAATTTTAAAACAAGCTTTTTACAAATTAATGTAATTGGCCTCTAAGAAAAATGTTTATTAAATAAAGCATACCTCAGATTAAAGTATCTTGCTGTTTGAGTCTATCTTTTGACTTGATAATGTCTTCAATTACAAGAATGATAAAAGCTGAAATAAAATCCTTTAATTCAATCAAAACTGAGCTAAATTTTAGGAAACAAAGAGTGGAAATTTGATACAGGACTGCATAATGCAGAAAGCTAAATGTGCTAGATATTACGACTTTATAAGAAGCTGGTGGGGTTGCCTTGAGGAATTTGAACTTGAAATAGCTGCATTGAACAGTATCATTAATACACCATTTTATCCTCTTCAATTAAGATGCTTTGTACAAATAACTGCAAATTCTGCAATAATTCCAAAGAGGCCATTTACTGTTTTTCTGCTTGTTTTACATTCTGAAGTAAGTTCAAAGCTTTTGAATTTGCTTGAGTTTTTTTTAATAGTCTGAACACTGAAAATAATACAAATTTGATTAATACAATCTCAATATAGCTGTTACGTAAAATCTTTCAGTGTTTATGGTACATTTGACTCAGGCCCCATACATCAAATATACCTTTATTGTATTTTAAATACAAACAAATGAACATATTTGAAAAATTAACCATTCTCTTGCAATTTTACATACAAAAATTAGCATTGTGATGGCTCCCAGAATGGGAATCTGAAGAAATATCCACTTGACAGAAATAAACATATAGAAAATAAATTGAGTTGATATTTCATTCATTATCTGAAACTGAAACTTATGTTCAAATGGTTCTTCCTGGGTTTTCATATTAATGCTATATAGTTAAATGTTATGCTCATAGATTTCTTTTTTTTTGGTGGGGGGGGTCCAGTCGTGGGGCCTGAACTCTGGGCCTGGGCGCTGTCCCTCAGCTCTTCAGCTCAAGGCTAGCGCTCTACCACTTGAACCACAGTGCTACTTCTGGCTTTTTTCTTTTTGCTTATGTGGTGCTGAGGAATCAAACCCAGGGCCTCAGGCATGCAAGGCAAGCGCTCTACCACTAAGCCACCTTCCCTGCCCCAGGGTTGGTTTTTTTTGTTTGTTTGGGTTTTTTTTTTAACTGTATTTTTTTTTGTCTTTTCTTTTTTGGTACTGGGGATCGAACCCAGGACGTTGCACTTGCTAGGCAAGTGCTTTGTCACTGAGCTACATCCCAGCCCTCATAAGATTTCTTCTGATTAAATTATGACTGAAAAAAATTAGATCACAGCTTTAATATCCAGGTGGGCAATACAATTTGCCAAGATTTTTGCATGTAACTCCAATATTTCTGCCAAGAACAAACCCTGTCTTGCTACTAATAAACCTCCTGAAGCATTCTAAGGTAAAAATGGAATAAATTTATAATTGCATTTATTTATTTGTTTGTTTACTTTAGGTTGCAGAACTTATAGCAAGTGCTCTGATGGATTTGGTACATGGAGTATACCAGGAAAAGCCTACTTCTGCCAAGGTAAAGAATTTTGGGATTCTTGTTAAAAAGTTAGAAGCACTTGTGGCAAAACAAGAATTGGTGAACAAAAATGTCATTCTTGTTTTGTATTTAAACTGTACGTGACTTTTTTTTTATTTTAGATTAGTGTTTTGGCTACAAATTCATGGCCATACGCTTAGTACATAGCAGATTTAGCCAATTAAAACAACCTCTCATCCTCTGGCTGGATTCACAGTCTGCATCAGCTCACTAGAAACATTGATGCTTCTGGCTGGCAGGTAGCACTGTCACAAGGCAGGCAGACTGGAGGACCAGCTCGGGCTGGGGATCTGGGCACAGAATTCTCCCAGAGGAAAGGAACTTCAGGGTTCAAGAAGAACAGACCATGAGCCCAAGAACATGGCTATCAAAAAAGTGGGAGCAAAATATCTAAAATATTCAAGATGCAGAATCATTAGATTCTCTGTAATAAGTAGGACAGTTGCACAGTTGGATTATTTTGATTAATTTTATAGGTCCAGAATTAAGGCGTTTTGACTCATTTAACAGGTCATCTCAGGGAAGGTTAGGTTTTACTTCCTTAAAATGCAGCTATTTCATTTCAGCAGGAGATTAGATGTGAAGTAATTGCTTCATTGACCACACCATCATTTGCCATGGTGTACACTATTATAAGGGACTCTTCTCCCAGTGTTTCATTATTCTAACTTTTTTAGCTTCTGTATTAGCAAGATTTCACTCACTGCAAATTAGAAAAAGTATGCATGTATGCACATCTTAAGCATTAACACTTTCAGTTGAAAAAGAAGACAAATTTTAGTAGAAGTGAAACATGGGTCATGAAAAAATATTTTTAAATATAATCCAGGGATTTTGGATGGCTCATAGTGCGGCTAGTGAAATATGAAGAAGTGTACCTTGGGCATCTGTTAACATTTGGGTCAGGGAACCACAGTTCTCAAGAGGTATATCTAACCTCACTTAATTAGCATATTGGTATATGGGGACTTTATGATAAAGGACCTAGATGTAAGACCATAGTGGACTCACCTAACAGAATTTTTTTAAAGACAAGTTTAATTCCCTACTATAAAATTGTAAAAAAGAATCACTTCCAATCTAGATCCACTCATAGAAAGTTACCTTATAGCTTGGGACCAGTGGCTCATGCCTGTAATCCTAGTAACTCAGGGCTGAGATCTGAAGATTATGCTTTGAAACTATCCCAGACAGGAAAGTTCATGAGACTCTTATCTCCAGTTAGCACCAAAAAGGCCAGAAGTGGAGCTGTAGCTCAAGTGTGAGAGTGCTGATAGCCTTGATTAGAAAAACTCAGGGACATTGCCCGGGCCCTGAGTTCAAGCCCCAGGACTGGCACCAAAAAAAAAATCACCATTAATACAATAAGATAAAGGTGATAGCAAAGCAAATATCACTAAGGAAATGATTTCCCTGTATTTCTTCATTTAATCGTCACAAAAAACCTTGAGAGGTAGATAGTACTATTACTATTCCCACTTTACATATGCAAAAACTAAGGTTTAATGATAAATGGGTCAGGAGTGATAGCACATGCAAAAAAAAGGGAAAAAAGAGAGAAAGGAAGAAAGGAAAGAGAGAGAGAGAAAGAAAGAAAGAAAAGAAAGAAGAGGGAGGGAGGGAAGGAAGGGAGGAACGAAGGAAGGAATCAAATAATTTTTCCAGTGTCACACATTCTGTTAACTAGAATATGAACTTAAGACCATAATTCAACCCAGCCTCTTATTCTGTTTTTCTATCTTACTTGATATACCTACCATATGATGGTTACAGTGATGTATTTATGCAATATTTTAAAGTGAAAGTGTTACCTGTTCTTACATCTGTCTTCTATATTAGCCTAGTTTATGAATAACTTGGTGAACATTTATTACATACTTCTTATGTAGAAAGCAAACCTAATAGCAATAACAGTCATATATGCTTACATAGTACTTTCTAGTACCTTACTTTCTAGTACCTTTCCATTTTATACAGGAAAAATATGAAATTCAGAAGAGAAATGGCAGGAAAGCATAATGTCAAAAAAATTATTTTTTTGTTAGTCATGGGGTTTGAACTCTGGGCCTAGGTGCTATCCCTGAGCTCTTTAACTGCTCTACCACTTGAGCCACAGTGCCACTTTCAGTTTTCTGGTGCTAGTTGGAGATTTTTTTACTGCAAGTCCTATGTGATTTGTTTTTTTTGCGGTGGGGGGGGGGTTTTGGGGGGGGGGGGGGGGTAGGATGGGAAGGGATGGGAAGGGATGGGAAGGGGAAACAAAGGAGGATCTCAGGGCCTTGGCACTATCCCTGATCTCTTTTGCTCAAGTTATCATTCCACCATTTGAACTAGCTTCACTTTGGGGGGGGGTGGGGGTGTGTTTTTTTGTTTATTTTCCTGGTGGTGGAGCTTGAACTCTGGGCCTGGGCACTGTCCCAGAACTCTTCAACTCAAGCTGAGCACCCTACCACTTGAGCCACTGAACTACTTCCTGTTTTCTGGTGTCAGTTGGAGATAAGAGTCTCATGGACTTTCCTACCCGGACTAGCTTTGAACCACAATCCTCAGATCTCAGCCTCCTGACCTGAGTAGCTGGGATTACAGGCATGAGCCACCAGTGCCCAGCCAATGTGTTTTTTGTTTTGTTTTGTTTTTGCTCTTTGTTTTTTCAGTATAATCTGTTTCTTTCTTAAAGCAAAAAGGAAGCAACAAAGACTTAAAAGGACTGTTGATCAGACTAGAACCAACTGATCAAGCACCGGTTGTTGACTTTCTCCTTAGCCAGTAAGTTTGACCCAAAAGAATCTGTCACGATGCTTTGTTCATCTGGCCTCTTTCTCCACCACCTCCCCAAACAGCATTTGAAGCACTTGAGAGTTGTTTTTTTGTTTTTGTTTTTTCAAGCATGTAGGTTTCAGAATATAGCTGAACCATTAAAGAGCAGTTCCTTTCTCTCTCTCTCTCTCTCTCTCTCACACACACACACACACACACTTTTATTAGCATTGCTTAGGTGTACAAAAGGGCTCATTTTGACATGCATATAATATGCTTTGATCAGTCTTACCCCCTCTATGTCCCACTAGTATTTCCTTTTAATAATGGACACAAAAATGCATAGTTGAACCATAGCAGTGGGAGTGCTTCTTGCTGCCGCCTTTTGTACCCGAAGTCCAATTTAGGTTAACCACATTTCCCTTCCTGACCAAAAATATTCTTCCCCCTCTCTTGTTCTTTTTTTCTGAATGTGCTTGCTATTGCAATGGCTTTTCAGAATTTAGTTTTTCTAATTTAGCCCAAAAATCACCTCTAGAGGCACACAGTGAGCTCTGCATCATATGGCATGCCTTCTAGATTCTCTTGTTCTGGCAAGACTGGGAACAGATACAAGTGGGGGTCATGTGAGAAGCCATGTACCCTGTGCTTCTCCCTTGTGCAACCTCCATAGCTTTTGGCCAGTTCCGCACACAAAAGAATTGCTTTGTGATTTAAAATAAGCTGGAAACCATTTCTTCCCTCTAGGGATAAGAGGATATAAAAGTGGTCTGTTTTCTATATGGCAATTTAATGCAGTGATGGCAAATCAGGTAGCAGGAAACTAGCTTTTGTGGGGTATATCTTTGTGACTAGTGTGCATGCATTAAAGCAGACAAGGTACCTGGAATTCAATACATCAGAAATAACTTTCCCTAAAGAAGTTTCTAAATACCTAATTCTCCTTAAAGTGATAAAAAATGTATATGATTTAAATTACTAATACTTAACATATTGTGGGTAACTTTTGATTAAGGAAACATGCAAAGTAACTTAGGCAATTCATCCTTTGTTCTACCTATTGAAAAATAGTTTTTTTAATGTTTTGCATTTACCTTGTATGTGAATCATTTCATTGTAAAAAATTAAGCACTGGCTGGGAATGTGACTTAGTGGTAGAGTGCTTGCCTAGCATGCATGAAGCCCTAGGTTCGATTCCTCAGTACCACATAAACAGAAAACAAAAACAGAACTGGCACTGTGGCTCATGTGATGAAGTGCTATCCTTGAGCAAAAAAAGCTCAGGGACAGGGCCAAGCCCTGACTGAGTTCAAGCCACAGGACTGGCAAAAAAAAAAAAAAGGCATTTTGCTTTGTTAGTGTTTGTAAGAAAACCTCCATGTATTTTTGGTACTATCTAATTGAAGAACGAAGCATATTAGATAGCAAACTCTTCATTTTAATGGTCATTTGCCTTTCTCGGTCTCCTAGGCTAAGTTCTGCTTATCACTCTACTCACTACTTTATATTTTAAAAAATCTGACTTTGGATCTACAGACCTATATATTTAAAAGCTCTTAAATACAATGTCTTATTATTATAGTTTGCTATCTGATAAGAAAAGTTTGTGACCATTAAATAAGAATTTAAAAGCCAAAGAGGGAAATAAGTTATTTTGATGTAACTGTCCTAAAGAAATCAATTATGATTATATTCTAATATACTTCTTTCTAATTTTCACTCTATTTCACCCATATATAATATATAATTTAGTATCTTTATTATCTTTGTTGTCATTACATTTTGAGAAATATAATTTTAATGATTGTTTCTTTACATTTCTGTAATATAATTTTCTTTTTTTTTTTTTTTTTTTGGGTCCGGTCGTGGGGCCTGAACTCTGGGCTTGGGCGCTGTCCCTCAGCTCTTCAGCTCAAGGCTAGCGCTCTACCACTTGAGCCACAGCACCACTTCCAGCTTTTTTCTTTTTGCTTATGTGGTGCTGAGGAACCGAACCCAGGGCCTCAGGCATGCAAGGCAAGCGCTCAACCACTGAGCCATCTTCCCAGCCCTAATATAATTTTCTTAAACATTCCACCAATTTAAAAAATTTTTTTCCCCAGTCCTTGGGCTTGAACTCAAGGCCTAGGTATTGTCCCTGAGCTTTTGTACTCTACTATTTGAGCTATCGTCCCACTTGCAGCTTTTTTAATTTTATTTTTTATTGTGAAAATACTGTACAG